GAATGAAAGTTGTTTCATTAAAAGCAGTGGCCAGATGCAAGCTGTTAAAAACTTAAATAAAAAAATATATATTATTTCAATGTTCCCATAAATTGATCAAGTGTTAACAAAAGAAATATTTTAAGGAGTTTTCCAACTGTTTTACTCTAAAGCTGCTCAACATAAGTTATTATTTGTCCGTTGAAACAAAACAATAGTTTAAAAGCAACTCTTTTAAAGGGAACAAACGTTTTTATGTTTTTCAGGGACCTCTTTCAAAAAACGCTTTTATTAGTAAGCTTATATTACCATTAATAAAAACTTAAGGTACATTGATGAATAAAACACTTTTATCAAATTTGTGAAGCTAAATACTCATAATCCAAATTAATTTCGAACATTTCTTGAAACTCAGGGAAAGAGCTGAGCACTGTGAAGTAAACTCTATTCTAGTTGCAGAACTATTGTATCCTCCTTGCATTTTCTGTAAAAACTATGCTTTCAACTAAACAGTTCAAGTCCCTGCCTGCCAAACACAGAAGCACATACTTACATTTTGAAAAAGGCCCATGAATTATATTTTGCTGAAGTTAACATGCCTAAGTTTTCAGGTTTTTAATTAAACCTCTGTGTCACCTTAAAGAATAAACAAATAGGAGCAAACATTTAATTATGAAATTCTGTATTATTGGAAAAACAAAAACTGTGGTGATTAATATCATGTTAAAGCCTTTTAAAGCCATCTCCAATACATAGCATATACTGTATTCAGCCTTTCCTTCAATTCATTCCATTAATTTCTTTTAGTCAATATGTTCAAAGTTTAATTTAATATATTTATGGTTCATTACAGCTTTATCAATCACTTTTTTATGACCTCTTGAAAATCAATGTCTAAACTTGTTGCATAAGCTGCAGAAAATCAAATATTCCCATTAGTTTAGCTTCTCACTTTATAGATCACTAAGCAACTGTTCTGCTTCAAAATAAAAATGCATTTCTTTGGAGAATTTCTGAAGAAGCATTGTCTGCTGAGTTTATTATGTTATTCTTATAATTTCTAAAATTAGCTTTATGAATTGTAAAGTTGCAGCAAAGCTGTCTGCCATCTTGAGATGTAAGCTGGGATTCCAAAACATATTTTATGTACGTCTGATCATGGCAAACTGATGGTATGTATGTTAAGACGATGTATGAAGAGATTATGACAAACACTCAGGAGGAAGTGACACTGAGCGATGCGATAAGCACTTGTCAATTTCCTTTTCTATTAGAGAGCGCTTTACCTTATCAAAAACGTTTTTAAGTTTTGAAGCTTTCAAGACACAATTGAAGCAAATTATCTAGAATCTTAGTGCAAGGTTACACAGCTCAATTTTCTTTTACAAGATCACACCCCTTTAACAAGTTCAGATCAGGCCACTTTGATGCAACTGAAGCACAACAACAGTGCAACAGTCTAAATGATGTGCTCTTGATCGGATGTTGTCTGTCACATGGAATGCAGCAGTCCTAATAAAGCTGCATGTATAGTTGGTTAACAGGTGTACTGTAATATCAATGGTTTAAACCCAAATACTGAGTCAAATCAGTACATACACATAATTCAAACACATTGGATTAATGTTGAAGCACTGATGCAGCCTGCTACTAAACCTTTCCTGTTTAGGGACATTTTAGCTTACAAATTAAAAGAAAAATAAATTATATAATTGTTAACTTAATTCTAAACCAGAAATGTACATGTCCTCAGTATTTGGCAGAATTGTATTTTAGACTATAGAAAGTAGGTCAAAAATTGTGGTTTACTGAAAAAACTTTTTATTACGGTTTTGCTAGAACCTTTACACAATTTGTAACTAATTTGGCTGTATATATATATATATATATATATATATATATATATATATATATATATATATATATATATATATATATATATTTTTTTTTTAAGTTTCTTGAAATATATTTGTGTACACATTTCGGAGGCATTACCCCTCCGAACTACATCAGCTTCTACAGGGAGCCCCAAATAGTATAAAAGAAGAAGTAGGGGTGGAACTTTAACATTATTAAAATAACACACTCAGGAAGTGGTGAAAGAGGAACTGACTTGATCTCAAAATAGTTCTGCACATGAAATGTAAGCCTAGGATCTGTAAAATGAAGAACATCTCCCTGCTCATCCTCTGGCTTATATCAGGTAAAAACATTTTTATGCTGGGCAAATCTTTTAATAATCAAACAGAAAAAACTCTGATGCAACATTTTACTTAATGGTGTTTTCATGTCCCTGAGCAACACTTAATGCTTACTGAAATGGAACTAATGTTTCAAAAATATGATATTTCATTTAAATGAGCACTAACCCACTGCCTGTTAATAACTAGTTTTAATTTAGTTGGTTTTCTTTAAGCGAGAGCTTTTGTTGGTTTTTGTCATTTTTCAAAGGTTTTACTCTGAGGATTTTGGAAAACTATTTCAAACTTTATCTAATGATAACAAATGCCATAGAACTGTTCTGATCTGTAAAAAAAATGAACTTATTGAATGTGAATGTCTTGCTCCATTTCTACATAGAGCATTTATGATGTACAAGGACACAAATCTACATGTAACAGATCAAAGCATTACTTTGATTATAGGATTTCTGTTGTGGTAGACAAATGATTTGTAAATATTAAAGTTTATAATGGATTATGTTGAGTAAATGTAATAACTTGTGTCTGGGAGACTCTAATTTTATCATTGATTTTGACACGGTGGTATAAAAGTGGACGTGGCTCTATAGGTGAGGGTAGAGCTGAGATTCTTTTATATAAATGATTATTAGGCACTAGTGTTATACGTGCGAAAGGGAAAGATCGACATAAACAGATGCTGATCAATAGATCGTCTTCACAAATTTGTTAAAAAATAATCACAGTTTATGTTGTGTTGGTCTGTTATTTTAAATTATTATTATTACTATTTGCCGAGGTATTGTCTGAGTTACTGGTGTCATCTAAATATTTATTTTTTTCTGATCTGCAGGTTTTCAAGCCTCAGCAAAAAGTGAAGGATGTCTGCAAGACTGGACTAAATTTAAATGCAAACATTCAAAATTCAACTTTAGAATTGAGGACATGTGTATTGAAGCAATTGACTCTGTGCTGGAAAATAACAAAATAGAATGTCCGCTTGCCCGTTATGTGAAAAAATATGAATTCACGCTGAAAATAAAAAATATCAAACAAAACAAACAACACTCTACAGGTAAATGGTATAGCACTCAACTTTTCATCAACTTATATTATTTGATTTTAGAGATAAAATGGTTATGTTTAATTTTTGTTTGTGTGATAAAAAGATTTATTGTATTAAGTATTTATCTTTAATTCTGAAGCAAATTTATATTCTACTATAATGTTTTAGTGAAATATAACAACATGTGATTTCTCTCTCTGGTTTGCAGATATTTGCAAGAAATCACAAAACAAAATCATATGTGATTTTTCAAAATCACTCTCCAAGATCTGCAACTACAAAAAAATCTGTAAAGGATCATCTTCTTCAACAGCTCATGTTCCAAGTTGGGAATTAAATCCAAACTCCAGCTGTAAAAAGAACTTAGATAATTGTATACACCACTGGGAAAGTAAAAAATCAGAGCCGAATGAGAATACAAAGAAACTTATTTTAAGGATTCTAAGTAAATAATTTCAATGTTCATTTTTGAGGTTTCATTACATTATGCTGAGCTGAGAAAGATTTCTTATGCTCCTATTCTCTTATTTTTCACAGATGTTACAACCTTTGAAAGATCACCAAGCCTTGGAAGTGACCTTACCTACTATTGCAAATATAACAGAGGCGATTACCCAGTAATCTGTAAGGGAGAGGATCCAATTAAATGCCAGGTTGTTGCAACCATTAAAAATGAGAAGAGGTTTCAAATGAATGAAACTGAAGTAAGGAATATAACTATAACAGTAAGAGGAATAACAGCCAATGACGTCGGTACATACTGGTGTCGAACAAACCCTGATATAAAGGACAACAAACAGGAATTATTCCACAGATTCTTCCTGCATGTAGGTGAGTCTGAACCCAGTTTGAACTGTTGTTGTGTCACAGAAAGAAATATAAACCATGCATGTTACATTAAGAAATACTTTTTCAATCACATGATATATTATAATATACCATGTTATACCATATATTATATGGTATAACACTAAAATAATTTTTTTCCTAGTTTGGGAGGTTAAGAGTCTGTTCATGTGACAGAAGCAAAAGCAATAACCTGCTAATGAAGAACACTGAGATAAGAGAGGAAAACATTTACAGGAAGTGGTTTTAATTCATTCATTAATACAGGAAGGGCACTAAATGTGTTTGCAGTGCTGCACATATTTCCATTTCCTGTATGTATTTCATATTATTGTGTTCAAAGCAAATATTAGGATTTGGTTCAACACACAGATATACTTAAATAGTTTTATCAGTGATTGCTTAAATTGATTCTACAGAGAAAAACAGACAAACAGAAAGCATTATCTTAACATTGTATACTTGGATGCACACTGATGCTGGTTGTAAGGTGTTTGCTGTTTATGATGCTTTCATCTTTTCCTGCACATTTTTCTGATATTAATCAGCAGCTGTAGTGATCAAAAGACGACACTTTCAGTCATAAGTAATCATTTTACCCAGTTAAGCAGAAGCATGATGATGTACAATAGATGAGATTGTCTTTACAGAGGTTAAGTTTATTTCTCTGGTATTTACAATGATAATTGAACTTTTTTTTTTGTAGGTAATTTGAAAAAATTGTAAGCATAATATTATATCTCGCTCACATCAAAGAAACAAAATCTGCAGCTAAAATTGCTTTATTACCTCATATTACATAAGATCTGCAGTATTGTCAAGTGCTGTAGCTTTGCGGCACATAATAGACAAGACAAAAATCAATCGACCATTAGACAGTTTGACTGATGAGAGGAAAGATTTATTTGATAAATAAAAACATGCTTATGAGCATCATTGTTGATTGGATCTTTAATAGAAAACACAAATCTGTTTACATTTACAATCATGAATAGTTGTATTATGTTTATGCTTTAAGACACAACGTCAAAATCTACTGCTCTGCCTTCGACATCCTCAAAGGTTTTTGGTAAGATAAAATGAAATACTGTGAGTATGGTAAACAATGTTTTATCTCTATAAATGCATTGCTTTTTTATTATTTATTTGTAGCACCAACTTCCAAGTCACCTGCAACCTCTGCTGCAAAAGGTGAGTGAATATTCTTTTTATCTAAAACAATTTACTGGACAAAATTAAAATGATGCCTACCTACCCTAACAGCCTTTTAACTTTCAGGGTTTTTTTGTTTTTTTATATATGTCTGATAACATGATTACTGTACTGCATTATTCTGTTTCTTGCAGCTGAATTAGGTCCAGGGCAGTTAGCAGCAATCATCATTGGAACGGCTGGGCTGCTTCTGTTGGTGATTCTAATATTTGCTTTCTTTAAAAGTAAGAATTCACACCATTTATTGGCAAAACATAAAGTACAGCTTCTCACAAAGACAAAATCTAATGTACATAATGTTAATGGGAAAAAGTAAATCACAACAAAACAAGAATAACGTGTGTATATGAATGGACTTTAACAAGCTTTTTAATTAGATGTACCAGTATAGGAGAATGGAGCATATATTTTCTTTAGCTGGACACAGTTAGTGAGCACATATGAATCTCGTTTTTCATACTTTGTTTTATGCAACAACAATGAACAGATTTTATGTTATCAAATCCTGCACAAAATGCTTTGGTAATAAGCCACAACAGAAGAGTCACCTCTTCACTCCCATTGTTTTTTATAGATGACCTGAGGGCACATGTGATCCAAGAGAATGTTAAGCTATTAAAACATAATTTTTAAACCTTGCGGGTCAGTCCTGCTTTCAGCTAAGCAACTGTTTCAAATGTAACTGTTTTGTCTCAAATTCTCACTCTTCTTGTTGGAGGAGCCGTGCTTAGGCGTGTAAATCCTGCTACTGGCTAAGTATAGATACCTTATAACAATTCAGGGATCTATCCAAAGTGGGCTGACTTCTATGCTATTTGTCACATTGGTCATTCCAAACAGCCTACAGAATGCCTAAAAGGGCACCTTAATCTTGCATTGAAGTGTTAAGTGAAATATTCCAGAGTGTGGCAGAAAAAATGCTGTAATGCTACAAAAGACTGTGTTTTAGTTGCTGTTATGGCTAGAGAGGTATATTAACTTAATATCTGCTTCAAAGACAGACAGACAGACAGACAGACAGATAGACAGATAGACAGATAGACAGATAGATAGATAGATAGATAGATAGATAGATAGATAGATAGATAGATAGATAGATAGATAGATAGATAGATAGATAGATAGATAGATAGACATCTGACTTTGTACTTGGTTATTCTTATCATCCCATTTTTCTTTTAAACAGGTTTCTCAGAAAAACCGAGAGACGGATCGACAGGCAAGCATCCCAAAGAGGTTAGTGCAGTTCAGTATGTAATTAATCTGCTGTTTTAACTATATTAATATATGATGGGAAAAGTCAATATTTATTGTGGAGGCTAGCTAAACATGTTTAATTTTTTCTTAAAAGGACTACATATATGAAGAGATACCAGATGACCTGAGGCCAACAATGAACAGTGTTTATTCTACAGTCAACCTTCCCACTAATGACCCAGCTTCATTGCATTATTCTACCATCAGATGTCCAACCAGCTCCACCAAGAAAGCAGATGGAGAAGTTCTGGTCTTAAACCCCTCCTCATCCTCTTGTCAGTATTCTGTCCTAAATTACAGCCAGAGTTCAACTTCTCAGACTGAGCCACAAGCCAGCAGTACAGACGAACCTCTTTACACGACACTAAAGTAACCTGTTAACTAATAAATAAATTAAAGATTGAGTGTAAAAGCAACAACCACAGCTGCCACACAGTGCTTTAAATATTAAGTAAAGTTAAAATAAAAACAACATATAAGTTTAAAGGAATAAAACAAATATGATCAAATTAATTAATTAAAACAAATAAAACCAAAGATAAAAAACACAAACGCAAAAACAGAGAAAGTCTCATGCTGTGTTAAAAGCCAAAAAATAAAAACATATTATAAGAAAAGTGAAGAGGATTGTCCAATGATTACAGAAGCTTTTTTTCATGTTTAATTTAAAAACCAATATAGCGTAATAGATGTTGAATTGTTATTGTTTTGCCAAATCTTTATGCAGGGTTTTTTTTTCTGTTTTTCTTTTTTTTGGCTTACATTATTGTTTGTACCAGAAAGACATTGAAACACAATTTTGTTCAACTGTCCATGCACTGCTTACTTCTGGTGTCCTTTATGCCTTCATGTTGCATAGCATGGAAGAAGAGACTATATATGAGACTGCAGAAAAAGGATAGCAAAAATTATTTATTGTTATGCTTATAACTGTTTTATTACTAGCAGCATTAGTACTAGCAATTTATTCAGTCATTCTGTCTGAGAATTTTTTATTGATTTAGAATAAAAGATCAACCACTATATGTGATCTAAATGGATGACAATAATTCCTCAACCTTTAACCTAACAAACAATAAATTCTTATGTACATAAAATTTGCTTTTGATTTATTATTTTCTTTTTTACGGTTTTCCATTGGGCTGTTTAATCTTTATTGCATTTAAAGTTGTCCAATGAATAGATGTTTTCTTTCTATATATGTTCTGCTTTTCTTAATTGCTTATAACAAAGAAGTGCTGGAGTAGATTGTTTTAACCCCATGAGCATAACTTGAACAGTACTTTAAAACAAAAAGCAGCGTGTTGCTACAAAAAAAAAACAATTTACGTTAGAAAAACGACAGACCATCATAACACTCTTAACATCCACCTTTTGAAGTAATCATCTCCCATTTTGCATACCCAGCCAAATTACGTGTGTGATACATCATTTGAAAGCTAACACCTTCTAGTTTCTGAAAATGAAAATTGGGTGAGTAAAATGCAGCCCAAACTGCATCAGTTCAAACATGACTCAAAGTTGTTTTTTTTATTCTCGAAAATAATAGGTCTTTTTTGAACAGCAGTAATAAAGACAGGCTTGCGAATAGGCATATCTCATTGTATTACATGTGTTCCACATGATTTTAACAACAAATGCAGAAAATTTCAGACCTCTAGCTAAAATAGCTTCAGAAGTGTGGGGCTTTAAACTTTTGGTGTCGCCAGCGTCTCCAAATCCCTCCAAATTGTGCCAAATGCTTTTACTCAACTATTTGACCCATAGAATAACACTGAAGCATTTTGGTGGCCACAAAACATTTATGAAGCAAATATTTTCCACTTTTTTTTTCAGAATCAGTGTATACAACAAAATGTAACATTTATAAACCTACAATAACATAAAAAATATATAAAAAATAGTGAAAACTGTTGCTTTTCAAGTTAAAATAAGCCCTATTGCCTTTTCTGAGCTGTATTTTGTGTTTTTTTTTCAGCCTTAGGCATTATTATAAAACAAAATCAGCGTCCAAACTTAAAAAAAATTGGACCTTTGATATTATTCAGCTTCAAGCTGCCCGCATTGATCCACACTCAGCTGTGTGTTTCACTCTTACGCAAGCCTGTAGCACGGCTCTGCTTTAGGTCTGCATGTCTAGCCTTTTCTGAAACCTTATTTCATTGGCTACAAAGCCAATAGCCCGCGTGGTCTTAACCCATAAAAACAGGACTCCATGAGGTGTAATATTGCTCTATTCGGTGTGTCATTGGCTGACAGGCAAGGAGCGCTTGTGAGATTTCAGCAACTGTTCTTGACTCCAATCGAGTCATACAAAGATGCCGATATTTTTGTCTTGTAGGTAAGAAAACGTAAAGAAACATAACAAACATCGCAGGCAAACAACTGAGGAAATAAGTATTAGGAAGTAAATATGAGCAAGATATTTTTTTCTTTATAAATATTATTATAAATTATTTATTATAAATATTCTGGATTACTTTTAATCTCTGGATCCTTATTGACAAATGGAATATAAATAATTAAAGATTAGATTCATAAAACGGCTTCGGGGACGCTTTCAAATCTATGTTATTGTGGCTGGCTTGTAATGTGTACATTTCGACATGCTGATATATCTGTGTTAATTGTGCTTTGGTGCTCGCTGTGTCCATAAAATGAACTTGGTGGTTGAATTGTGGAGAATCTAAGCATTCCAAAGATGTCTAACATGTCTATATTGGTAAAAAATTTACCGTTGTTATTTTCATGCATTCTGACTTGGTTATAAATGCTTTAAAACAGAGAGTTGTGATAATTAAAATGCAGAAGAAACTGAGGAGAGCCCTAACAGGAAGAGCTCTGGCAGACCCAAAGCACATCTGAATCGGATGACAGGCTTTTGAAAGTTCATAGTTTTTGGAAACTGTTTTTGGAAAGTTGTTGTCCTTTTAAGGACAACTTTAGGCACAGTTAAATAATAATGGTTTCAGTAAGCAAGTCTCAGTTTCAGATCTAAAGCAAACACCTCAAGCTGCAAGACGATTTACAGCAAGAAATTCATTACTAAGAATAAAACAATACATGCCTGCGCCATGACGCACTTCCAGTGGCAGGCATATATTTAGAACTTTAATTTCTTCATAATTATGGCTAATTGTTGTTGCATAGTGCAAGTTGTTTAATATTTTAATGACAAAGTTGTCTTTCCTTGGGGCCATTGTAAAAATTTGTTGACTGAAATCTGAATGACAATACAATTAATCTTAGTCTTAGTCTACAGAGAGGTGTCCAGACATATCTTTTCTTTTTGGAGCAGTTGCTTACAATGACTACAGCGTGTTTTAGGGTGCACTGTTCTACTTGATAAGAGTTACTGAAAGACATGTGAGATAAATGTAATTGCTAAATGGATACTAATAAATGAGAAGCTTGATATAAATGCCATATTTTTATATCAAAAATACAAGTGTAACAATTATAAAACTGCATTTACTTTTAGTAACTGTTCTGATTTTCCTGAAGAACTGATAGGCCTACTTGGAAAAAGCATCAGGTCAAAAATTTTTAATGAATGCCTTTTTAATTTGTAATGTGGAACTCAATTTTTTTAGAATATATGAAACAACAAAACCCGACCAGGCTTCTGCAGCAGCTTGCAAACATGGGCTTATCTACTGGACCTTTAGATTGAAAGAAGGATAAAGAAGCTGAGTTTTGCTGACAAGTTGTAAGCAGCGCATCAACAGGTGGTTAACATGCAGGGGATTGCAAGCACACAGAATACTTCTGCAGATAATGTACCACAAAGAAGTTTTAGCAAGAAGTAAAAGTTTTTCTTTCATCACCTCACAAAAGGTTTTGTCGTGGTGCTACTTGCACTTGTGGCTGTGCTGGTTAGACATTTGATGACTGTCCGATTTGGAAGATATGGCCACGTTGTTGTCATCTGTCAAATACAGGTGCTGGTCATAAAATTAGAATATCATG